GACGCTGCCGTGGGATGGGAACAGCAAGCAAACAAGCAGCCGCAGGACGAGGATCTGTGCCCTTCCTGTATAATTAAAACCCATGCACCACAACCGACACGTGTATGGTTTTGGGAGTTTTTTTTCTCCCTCGCTAACATTCCTTACTGTGAAAACCAGTTCTGTTTTCCCACACATGGTGGCAATCGTTTGGCACGCGAGGGAAAGCGCCGTTCCTGCTTCCAGCAACACGGTGAAAACTGTGATCACGTCAAAATTCCAAAAAGGGGGTACGAGCCGAGCGAGTATGAGGATGAGGTGAAATGCTCTCTCACCGGCAAACGTACCCCGACGCGTCTCTTGTCTGCACGAGCGCGTCAGGTACGTCATTGATTTAGCAGGAAAGCATGCGTATTGTCTCCAAAGTAGCAGAACAAGTCTGTTAACATGTTTGACCTCTCCAGATACTGCGGCCGTGCCCCACATTCACAGATCAACTCAGGAGACAATCTTCACCGCAGCACACCAGGGCGTGCATGCGGCGCCAGACCCACGCCAGTCCCAAAGAAATATGCAATCCATTTTTTTTTGTCCACTTCAGGTTGCCTGTAACAAAGGATTCTTCTCTTCTTGATTCTTGTGATACAGATGTGCTTGCTGGAGAAACAGAGGTTCTTTGGAGGAGCGTGTGCTCGGTGCACATGGGACTGTTCGTTTTTCCTGAACCGTCCAGAGACGAAGAAAGGGACCAACAGTCACATGGAGCGCACGCCGGGTGCAAGATTTCAGATGGTTTCTTTCGAAACGTCCATCGTTGAATGCGTCGTCTCATTACAACAGAGCCTCCAATCTACAAAGGAAGATAAGACGTGTCCCGCGTGGAAAGGTGACACGTTGAAGCGATTAGGCCCAATATGAAGAACATCACGCTGGCTGTAATGCAATGAATGGCGGGTTGATACGCGGGGCATAAATTAAATCACGCTGCAGCTCTTCTAAGAAGGCAACACCTTGAAGCCGTTGTAGAGCACTTGGCCAGACTGACAGACAGATACCGCGCCGTGAGTCATGCAGGCATCTCTTTCCCTCCCCGAGATGGAGGAAGCACATACCAAGCAGGGCGGGCCCGATTGTCCCACAGCCCTCAGCCGAGACTGCTCACGCCCCCCCCCCCC